CTTATAAGGGAAGTGAAATACCCACAAAATGGTTTCAAGTGACTGAGTGATAAGAATGAACAACTAAGCCCATAGAATGCACATTATTTAAAGAAATAAGTAAGACAATAATCAAAAGAACCTCTGAAATCAGGTCAGGTTCCACATCCCAGCTCTTCCAGCCACCTGCTCTAGAACCTGAAATCAGGTACCTCATTCCTCTCCATCTTCATTTCATCCATGAGGAAACACTAACAACAACTCTAAGACAGAGTGAGATATGACGTGAAGAAACTGAGGCAGACAGTGTAGGTTGGCAAATGCAATGCATTTTCCTAGAGTTGAAATGCTAAACTTCCTAGCCTCTCCTGCAGCTAGGAGTGCCCGTGTGACTGTCTCAACCAATGACACACAAAAAGCATTCTGTCAGGATTTGCTCTTCAGCCTCTTCCTTCTTCTTCCTGAGGAATCCTGGATCCACAGTGAACATTTCCTTGGTCACCAGCTAAGGATGGATGAGCAAAAGACAAGGGTTTGGGAGCTGATGGCACTGTGTAACCAGATCCCACCTTGAATAACCGCCTTCTAATTCCTTATATCTCTTGAGATAAGTAAGCACTTGTGTGGTTAAATCCCTGCGCCAGCCTCAGCCTTCTGTTAAAAGCAGCAAAAACAAGCCTAACAACATGGCTTGACACAACCCTGACAAAGATCTCTGCCCACCAACATTAGTCCCTTAGTTTCCTTCCAGTTGAAAAGGCATGTGTTTGGAAAAATGATTACAATAACAGTGTTATTATATAGTATGATACGAATTTCACTAGGAGAAAAAAAAAATTTCTGGGAGACTCAGGAATATCCAGGAGCTCAGAAAGTTCTACTAAGCACATTTGTGAAAAGAGGGAAATGTGTGTTTTCATTTTAACAAGGCCACTTTGAGAAACTCCTTCAAAATGTCCTGCTGGATATCCCGTGGGCCAAGGAAGCGGCAGGGCCAGGCCAAGGGGAACATGACAGGGACCCTATGGCCAACCTATGTAGCTGGCAATGAGTGACTGAGGGGTGCATTAGTGGCTGTTCTGATATACTTTACATTTGGCCCTTGGGTGAGGATTCTGAGGAGACTTAACTGGTGGAGTCTATGATAGCCATCACGTGACTAGGCAGCACAGTGCTGGAGAATGGTGAGTCAGCCATCTTTTTACTGCACCTAAAGGAATATTTTTTTCAGATTATATCAGCACAGATGTGGTTTCTAACATTCCTTGCTCATTTCCAAGGAAACTCATGCACTTCCTGAGCAATGTATTTTAGGCCAAAATAGACTTGATTCAATAATTCCTGCAAACCCTGGACCATGTGGACTTAAAAGGGACATTCTTTGGCCACACAGGAAAAAAATTAATCCTAACCCAGGGGATGTGGTATTCTCAAAATGAAAACACCCCATCACACTGTCCTCTCCAAATACACACTTGCATGCACATGCACACACACACACACACACACACACACACACACAGCACATCTTTTTAAAGTTCTATGTGAAAGTTAAAAATGGCTCTTCACACTTAATAATACCAATGAATATTTCACTGAAATATATTGGTAGAGATTTTTTGATACAGCTGCATTCAAAAACTCCAGCTTAGTCTCCTATACTCATGCAAATATATTGCAGTGTTCCAACCCAAATTGGACCTAGACAGGGAACCCTTGGCAAAGATGAGTGGATGGAAATGAATACTGCTATTAGGTGGGCAGCACTGCACTGGCCCCAAAATGAAAAACTTGTTCCTCAAAGGCTCACAAGGTGGTACTGGGATCAGCAGAGAAAGACTTTCAAAAAAAAGTAATACATACAAAAATTTAATAATGAAGCTATAGGAAGCTGCAGAGGGTCCAAACAAGAAGCAATTGACTACTGGTAATAACAGCACTTCAGTGTGACACCTCAAAGTACCCTGGGGCCTCCTGAGGATATACAGCCCTGAGCAGGACCTGTTTACATTCCTCCATGTACAGAGAACCTTTCTTCTTCTACTGCATCTTGGCAATAACAACAACGACAATAATGATGGGTGAAAGTATGCTAAAGAATAACAACAATAACAATGGCTGACATGTGTTGAACACTTAATTGGAAAGCCTAAGGCAATGGTGCATGATCTCAGTTGTAGAATGAAGGACCAGGAATTATTTTGCTGAAACTTAGGAAAGGGGGGTATGCTTTGTTCACACCCACAACACTACACCTCACCCATTCACCTGATTTCTGTGGAATCTGCACACTCTCTTTTCTTCCCACAGGGAATATGAATGAAATATATCAATCAGCTGGAAACTTGGTTTGCTTTGAACAAACTTAAAAGCAATCCACTAACAAATAATAATGAATGAGGGCACAGAGAAATATTTCATCATTTTTGTGATGCAATTGCTTTTCTAGAATTTCTAAAAATTGATCATTTCAAGATCTCAGCAGAAAAATACACATGTAACTTTAAAATATCTATGCATTGAATTGGTTTAGCCTCTTGTAATGACTGTGCACATGCAGAATGATGCAATGACTCCTGGTTCCTAAGGATAAAAAGCATTTTCCTTTGTTATTCAGGAATGGTTCTTTGGTCTTGCAACAGGCAAAGAGAGATACGGAATTCATTTGCACACACTTTGAAAAGGAAATTTTTCCTAACCATGCTACTGTTGCTGCTGCAACTGACAGATAAGATGGGAGGCTACTTTCTATGTCTTTAATCATTTCTTTTCTTCAAGCCTATTTTCTAGTATAAAGTTAAAAGTCAGTTGATATAACTGAAAGCCCTCATTTATAGAGGGCCTCTTTTGAAATTCTTTTTAACATTTTTCTCCTTGTTAAAGAAGATCGTTTTCTTATCTCTGCTTCATTCCATGGCCGGTTGCTATCCGTTTTTGTAGATGGAAGATACTGTGGATTGGCATGCTCAAATTCTATTGCACCTTCCTTCCAGCTTCCTGCTGAAGCTTGGTAGTCAAAAACTGCCTCTTTAGGACTCTATGCATCTAGTATTTTAGATGTAAATTAATCTTTACCTATTAGATGCACTTAAAGGAGATTTGGAAGGAGGAGGAGAAGTGAAGCCCTCTGTTTTCCTTAGAGGCAGTTGTGGCCATAGTAATGGCAATGGCAGGTTAGAGTATCCTAATTCCTAGACCACAGTTAATGCAGCAAATTTAATCTTTTTTTAAGGGTGTGATCATCGGGGATTGAACTCAGGGGCACCTGACCACTGAGCCACACCCCCAGCTCTATTTTGTATTTTATTTAGAGACGGTCTCACTGAGTTGCTTAGTGTCTCAAAGTTGCTGAGGCTGGCTTTGAATTCACAATCTTCCTGCCTCAGCCTCCCAAGCTTCTGGGAATACAGGAGCAAATTTTTGAACTCAATTATTCCAGGAGCCACTTCTTGACTCCTACTTTTCATTTTCTTTTTTTTTACTTTTCTCTCTCTTTCTCACTTTTTCTTTTTACTTCTTCATTCTTTCAGTGATTTTTTTGAGTAGGCTTATCCCTCATGTGAAATATCTTTCTGTCAAAAATACCTAGGGAGATTTCCAAACCTTTCGTAAACCCTGACAAAAATAAGCCTACTCTTCACTCCTCAGGCTCAGGATGTACCTTATGAACCAGCACAGCATCAATACCAACATTTATATAATGCTTTGTAGTTTACAAAAGTACATTGACAAGCAGTATCTGAACTGGTCCCCACCACCACTCTGTGAATAGATGGAATAGGTGCTGCTCTGTCTGTCTTAGAGATGAAGAGAGCTGACTCTCAGAAGAGTTAGGTGATTTATCCAAGGTATTTAATTAGTAAGTGGTGCAGGCAAGGTTCAATTCCACATTTTATGACTCTTAGTCATTTCCTTTGACATTAGGAAGTCTCCCAAGAGCAAGTGGATAATGGAGAGAGAGAAAGTACACAAATACTAGCAATTAATTAAACTTTCTAATTCCTGGTTTTAAAAAGGTATCACTACACACACTCTAAAACCATTCCATTAGACTAACACACCTAAGGATGAGCTAGGAAGTTTGGGCTTTTTTATAGACTGTGACTGTTTTGTAGGAATTATGACAAGTAGAATCCGTGTCTGAATTTACAGGATTCCTCCTTCCATGACTCGTTGGCTATTTATTTATAAAGAGCCATGAAAGGTCAGTCCCATTTTCCAACCCTGACTGTTAATCCTTTTGGTGGGATCTGACCAAACCAAGAGTGACTAGAGGACTAGGGAAGGCCAAGATTGGATTCCCAATTTCTCCCTAGTGGCAATTTTCACCCTAATATCCTCTCCCCCTGAAACTACGGTTTCCTAGAATGCAGATTTACTACCCACGGCTCCCCCCACCCACTTGCTGCCTAGACATATTCTAGTAAAGCATTTTATTTCAATGCTCAGGAAACCAAGAAGAAAAACATTAAGTAAGCAAAGCTTGATTTAAACCACTTCAAAAGTGGTCAAATTGAATTCTTTCTCTCTATACCCACCACTCTTCCACTTCTTAGCAGTAATCTAACCATAGGGTTAATGTTTGAGAGTTCTGAGGAGCAAACATCTCACCATATGGTCCCCATTCTTTGAAAGCAACATCAGTCCTAAGAAAACATTCCACTATCACAAATCCTCACGACCATTCCAAGGCCAACCTCTCAGAACACTAGAATTCCACAATTCCCTGACCAATCTCGGCTTACTGCCTTTGGTTTCGTCTGACTCAAATCTAAAGAGCTAGGAACACTGCAACTCTACTGCTCTATGCTATCTTCCTTCCATCCTTGCGTCAAAACCTGAGGTCTTGACATACACACACGAAAACAACAAACAGAAGGGAAAGCATTTAAAATTAAAATGAGGACAGAGAAGATGAAAAGAATATCCATTGGGTTAGGCAAAATTTCCTATGATATCAAGAATTATGAGAAACCGTCAAAATGAAGGAAAAGAAAAAAAAATCCCACCTCTATACTAACCTGGGGAAAGAGAGAATACGTTGAGTTGTCAATGGTGAATGAGTATAAAAATTCCCCATCGTACCACATGCTCTTCCCCATGGGGGAATTCATTTTAGTCATAGCAAAGAGATGGGCGGGGTCACAGCAGTCTTCCATTTGTTTCCTAGGAGAGAAAAACAGAGAGAAAAAAGAACAGCAGGTTAAGTGAGCAGCAGATTCATTCACTTGTCATTCCCACAGAGACGTGCAGCCTCGCCTCAGTGCCAACTCACAGAGGCATCAGCGTCTCCACGGTGATTAGACTACTATTAATTCACTCTGCCAGCCATTGAAAGGCATGACTGGAATATTTCACCATTAAAAAAAATTTTTTTTTTAAAAAGTTGAAGAAAAAAACATCCACTCTCAGGTGCAGCTGAAATATGCCTCAAGGCATAAATAATCATACAGCTGTATTGATTGATTCCAACAGCCAGGTCCAGAAGACTTGGGGAGCTAACTTTGTTGAACGTTGAGCTATTCAGGTGCAGCAGGAGCTCGCCTGTATCTTGCTTTAATGGTCTGGTGGTCAAATTCAGTGAGCGGGGTTTTCAGGACTTGCTCAGGCCACATGGGCAGAAGAGCTGCCTGCTCAGAACCTCTCCCTGTCTCCACCCTGAAGGAATGCCTGTAAGGAATCAATGGCCACATACCTGTCATGCACCAGGGGCCTTCACAGATATTTTTCACTTAATTTTCATGGTAACCCTGGACCTGGACCATGTGAATGTTGTTTTTTTCAATAATTTATTTTGGGTCATATAACCAGTAACGAGGTAGGACAAAGCTTCATTCCCAGGTCTTTTTACTTCAACCAGGCTATAGCTCTCATCTCCAGACCAAGCTAAACTTGCCACTTAGCACAAAGTGCTACAGGAGATTCAGAAGAAAATTTCTGTCACAGACATATAATAACCTCTAACTTTGTCTAGTACCTGACAGCTTACAAGTCACTTGCACGTTTGTTTATTTGTTTCTTCTTTGCATCCTCAAAAAAAACAAAAACAAAAACAAACAAACAACTAAGAATACAGGGATAAGAGACTGGCTCAAGTTCATTAGGTTAATAAATCTTTTCTTAGTTATTGATCAAATGTGTACTAGATGATGTGGTCTCAAGTTCACATTTCTTCTTCCATTATCACCATGCTCAGGGCAATCATTCCTTGAGTGGGTGAAACTAAATACTCAATAAAAAATGGAAAATATCACATGCATAAACATATTTTTTAATCCAAAAGTTACAGCAAATTCATAATACAGGTTTTTCTATTATAAATTTCCCAATTCTTTCTCACCCAGAATGCCTCCCCATCTCTGTTATGCTCATCTCTGGAGGGTAGCCGATATGGAGCACAATGTGAAAATCTGCATGCTTGTTCCTCATGCCTGAAAGGTGCCCAATCTAGCTCAGCAGCCTCACTGGCAGTCGCAGCTGCATCAAAATCCACATTAGTGCAAGTACTACCAGCAGCCATCACAGTCATAGTATAAGAAGGAAGAATGACTTTTAGTTTTGCCTAATACTGTGCCATGTTCTGGGGATATAAAAAAAATCAGACCTGCCTTCAGAGAACATGATTACGAAGCGGGCAACCAAGGTTAGGCTATAAAAGCAAAAATAAACAAATGGGACTACATCAAACCCAAAAGCTTCTGCATAGGAAAGGAAATAATCAACAACATTAAAAGCAATCTACAGAATGAGGAAAATATTTATAAAGCACATATCTAACACAGAATTAAAATTTCAAATTGAATATTATTCAGCCATGAAGAAGAATGGAATTATGTCATTTGCTGGTAAATGAATGGAACTGGTGGCTATTATGCTAAGTGAAAAAAGCCAATCCCCAAAACCCAAAGGCTGAATGGTCGCACTGATGTGCAGATGCTAGTATACAATAAGGGATGGGAGGAAAGAATAAAAGTTTATTGGATTAAACAAAGGGAATGAAGGGAAAGGAGGGGAAATGGGAGTAGAAAAGATTATAGAATGAAATGGCATAACTTTCCTATATTCGTATATGAATACACAACAAGTGTAACTCCACATCAAAATACACTCTACTGTCATGCATAACTAAAAAGAACAAATTAAAAATTACCAAAAAAATTATAAAGAACTCTTAAAATTGAGGAAAATCCATAATTCAATTTAAAAATGGGAAAAGGTCTGAACAGATATTTTTCCAAAGAAGACATAAAATGGCTAATATATCTCATGAAGGTGCTTAATATGATTTAGCATCAGGAAAATACAAAATAAAACCACTGAGCTATTTCAAGGATAGTTATCACCAAAAAGCAAGAGATAGCATATGTTAGAGAAAGTATAGAGAAAAGGGAACTCTTGTACACTGTCAGGGGAAATGTGGACCACTATAGCCATTAAGGAAACCAGAATGGAGGTTTCTTAAGTAATTAAAAATAGACCTACAAACGACACAGCAATCCCTCTTCTGGGTATACACTCAAAGGAGATGAAATCACCACCTCACCTAGATATCCTACATTTGCTGCAGCATTGTTCCCAATAGCTGAGATGCAGAAACAACCCAAATATCTGTCAATAGATGAATGAATAAAGAAATTGGAATATAATTTAGCCTTTAAAAAAGAAAGAGAACTTGCAATGTGGGTGGACCTTGAGGATATTGTGTTAAGTAAAATAAGCCAAACACAGACAAATGTTGCCTGACCTCATGTATATGTGGAGTCTGGGTGGAAGGAATGAATCAGTGATTATTATGGGGAGATAATTAGAGATTTTCATGAGTTGGGGAGAAAGAGAAAAATTGGGGAAATGTAGCTCAAAGAATAAAAAATAGCAGATGTGGCCAGGTGCGGTGGTGCACACCTGTAATCCCAGCAGTTCAGGAAGCTGAGATAGGAGGATCTCGATTTCAAAGCCAGCCTCAGCAACAATGAAGCCCTAAGCAACCCACCCTGTCTCTAAATAAAATACAAAATAGGACTGGGGATGTGGTTCAGTGGCCGAGTGCCCCCAGATTCAATCCCTGGTACCTAACCACACCCCCCCTTAAAAAAAATAGCAGATGAACAAGTTTAGAGATCTAACATACAATATGAGGACTACAGTATCAAAATTATAATGTGTTAGGATTTTTCTTATGTAGATTTTAACTGCTCTTGTTACAAAAAAAAAAAGTAACTATGGAATGACAGACAGACTAACTTGCTTCATTATGGTAACTGCTTTACTTTATCTATCCCATAATATCATGTGGTAAACCTCAAACATACGCAATAACATTTATTTATTAAAAAAAAGAGGAAAAGTGACCAACAGGCAAGGTACGACTCATGTGTTCAAGAAGGCTCAGTGGAGATGAGGGTTTATTTGTGGTTGCTGGAAAGAGGATGTTAAGCCTAAGTTCCAGGAAGTTTCCTCTGAGATTTGCAGTCTGGGAGGAACTGGCAGGATGATGGAGGAGGCCAGTTATTTCAGACAGGAAAGCTGCTGCAGAGGCATGAGAAAATAAGATGCAACCCCAATAAAATCATCAGAGAAAGCATCAGAGAAATCATCTAAAGAATTGTTGAGGTGAATAACACACATCACCCACCACCCAACTGTTTGGAGGAAAAAATATACCAGCTTTGAGAAATTTGGGGGCAAATTTGGTTCCCACTCTCTTTCTCATGTTTTGTGCTGATGGTACATAATACCTACTTCTATTTTGTGGCAGACAAAAACCACGGGGTCAAAAAAGCAAAAGGAATTTTATTCAAGTTTCAACTTTTAATTAATGATTGAGAAGTTGGAGAATGATTCAAGTAGGGGAATCAAATAGAACCTAAGTGCCTTTTATTACATGAATTCCAGCTTCTTCAGTGGTCGAGTCTACTTAAGCTTTGTTGTACCAGGAGGATGAATACTTCTGAAGCCTGACAGCCACTTGCCAAAATCCCACTAGGTCTCATTCCTCCTAATGGAAGCCATGCAGTTCAATTAAGCCATGAGGCCCTCATCTGCTTATTGGGCACATAGACGAGTAAGACCCAAGATTTTGGAGAAACTCAATAGGTAAATAAGGGTAAGACTGCAACCCTTTGGTTTATATTGCCTAGTATCAGAGTGGGCCTTGCTGAGACTCTTGCCGATGTCACATTCAGCATTTGGTCTCCAGACAGGAAGAAGGTTGGCAGGCTACAATTCCAATGACTGACATTTCTGGGCTTCTTCCAAGGAATGATTGAGTTTGAGATAGCAGGGGAGAATCAGAGTTCTACCTTGTTCTCAGTATTTGACCGGAATCTGCTGCTACACTTCAGTTTTATACTGTTTTTGGAAGGCTGAATAGTTAAGTAGACAAATATCCAAACCCATACCACTTATGGCATTCCTGAAAGTGCATGCAACAGATGATCATGTGAGCACGTGCACTGCCTTCTCATCTAAACACGGTATGAATGTGAGCAGCCCAAACAGGAAGCATCATTAGAATCTACTGTTTGTGATGGAATATGCAATTTAAAATCCCAATAAGCAGTCTAGAAGGAAACAGACTGAAAATTTCTTCATGTGTTTTACATATTGAAATTCTATCAGTCAAGTGATGTAGAAATGCATATGTAACACTGCAAGAAGAAAGTGCTATGATAACTTTATTAGGAAAGCTGTTCATTTTATGTACAAAAAATTATTGACTATGTAGGACTATAGATATCTGGGGGAAAAAAGAAATACTAAGAGTGTATTTGGAAGGTAACCTCAAGAAAAATACTAAATCATCATTCTGCCACCAAATATCTACAAAATTGTAAATGGTAACATGAAAAACAGTTGAGATTACATGAAAACTTAAATCTTTGTAGAATCATTTGATATACCAGCATTCAAATCGTTAAACTTTAAGAGCTATATTTAATTTTCAGTTAATTTAACTTTAATTAGAAAAGAGTTAGTGAGGGAGAAAGTCCTAGGTGGGAATTCTTCATATCTTTTTATGAAGACTTACAGTTAAATGTCAAATTTTCTTCCCAAATGTCACTCAAGAAATAAAAACTTGAAAAGCAATATCCACCTTTTTTTTTATACCTTTATTTTATTTATTTTTATGTGGTGTTGAGGATTGAACCCAGGGCCTTGCACATGCT